CACACTGGGCCCTATTTTCTTTGTCTTTTCTTTTTAATCCTCTTTATCCTCTGTTTCCAGCTTCCGGTTACCTATTACAAACAAATAACTGAGGTATTGAAGCCAAACTGAAGAAAGTTCGTTCATACTCATAGATTTTAAACACATTTCAAATTATCAAGGCCCATATACATAGCAGTGTGCGTGTACAGGACATACCCTGGGGGTTATGCCTTAACCTTCCATTTCTTTCAAACGTACTATACAAGCTGACCATATGTATGCTACGACGCACGCAATGATAAGGCTGAGTGCTCTTTGGTTTTTGCAGATATCTGCGTTTAGAATGACAAAAGTTACAGCCACAGTAAAGCAAAAGCAGCAGATGCAGGTTTTACAACACAGATTTTCTCTTAATGCAAATACATTTTCCTGCGAGGAAAAGATGCAAATACTGACAGCATTTCTGTGCACTTCGCTCACCCAACCACAGTCTCTCACAAACATTTTAGAAAATAACTCCCAAGAGACAAGATCATCCATCACTAGGAAGCATTAGCCCATGTGTTGGTTTCACATATGCAAAGAGAATTCCTATGCATTAAAAAAATGACCACTTATGATCCTGCATGATCTGGCACACAAAAAAGACCACAAAATATCATCCAGTAGTTTCTACCACAATCGCTCTATGAAATGCACAGTAAATACAGCTGTTCATTCACATCACTTTTAATATTTGTTCACTGTTGGGGATAACTGAAGCATTTGATTTATTCATTTTATCCTACACTGATTTCCTTTATTTTTCAATGAAGCTCAAAATAGGGCATTGTTCATTCACCAAGGGTAAAAATGATCAACTCAAAGTGATGTTCTGCAGGTTTAGCACAAACAATTAAAAAAATCCTGCAGGATGTTTATAAAGAGATTAATGCAAAAGACAGGTGCAACTGGATACCTGAAGTCAGTGAAGACGCAAATAAACACAACTAGCTAATATTATTCATGCCCCCATGCACAGATAAAACATTTCACACTTATCTTTTCCAAGGATGAAGGTATTGAATAAGCAGACATTACCAAGGGCTAAAAACAGAAAGATTGTCAGAAAGAAAATGTTATCTTCTCCAAGATAAATTTGAGTACAAAATCCACAGGTCAAATAATTGAGGGAAATGGACAAAGCTGTCCTAGTAGAAACATCCAGTGCTAAAAAACCCACATACTAGAAACACAAACCAACAAGGAAGAATCAGAATAAACAAAATTATGTTGTCAGAAGAAAGGCTGGATGATAGGAAAAGATTTCTCTCAGCCACTGCCATAAAGTGAAACATTCTCCATAAGCTTTTGGATAGATTCATTTACTCAGGCTAACCCCCCCACTCTCCCATTTTTCCTCTTTGCCCTCCACTGATCTGTGCTGTTTATCAGAATTTAAAACCATGTAGCCTAAAACGACCTGGCCTATGCTGTGAATTTTCCCAACCACTGTGGCTTTATTTGGGTAATGTCTGAGAAAAATAAGTTTTTAAATTCTTAGACTACTCATATCCTAAACATTTTAGGGTCTTCTGCTATTTCCTTTTACTTAGCAAAACCACAGTAGTTGTCTCTGCTATTTCCTCAAAAAAAATACAGATATAGCAATTATTCAACTCCATGGGAGATGCAGAAGAAACTGGAGAAGCAGAACCACTACTTCATAGTATGACATGCACCTTCAGCATTCTCTTTTGTTATAAAATCTAGATTTATGGTCACATACATCTATAGCTAAAAGCACAAAGATATAGTACATTTCAGAGACTCTTACTCTTTCCATAGCCATCATACACCTGCGGTATGGAAACTGCTGAGCAAATGACAGCTCTCCCCTCCTTGCTCCCTGCAGGTGCAACTGTGTTCAAAAGCCCAATCCTCAAGAGCTGATGAAGCTGGTAAAGCGACACTTTGCAGAGGCCTCAAGCCCCAGGCTGGTTCATCATTCAGGGTGAACACGCACCAGAATCACACAGAGTCACCAGCTTGCTCTTGCTCTCGCCCGCTGGCAGCACGTGGGCCCTAATCCGAGGGTTAGTGGTCGTAATACACATTCCTATAAAGACTTTGCTCCCAAGCACAGTGACTAATTAGATAAATGCAAGCAATGCTAAAGGCATACTCAAAAGTTAACTTGTTTTTTTTAAAAGAAACTATAATCCCCCCATCTACACACAATGTGCACATATCCTCAGTCAGCCACGCAAAATATTCCCTCACTTCAAGAAAAAAAAAAAAGAGTATTTAAAACGCACCTGCTCCAGGGTGAATGCCACTGACCATGCACCACTACCCCATCTTTGTACTGCATGATCCTAGACTTGAAGAGTGGAAGTCCTCCAGAACAGAAAACATGTTACTTGTTTGGAACAAGGCTTCTACTACACAGCACTATGTACACTCTTGGCACTATATCAAATAATGCTGACACCAATACAATAGGAAAAGCTCCGGTTCATTTAGTCACACCCTCTCACTGGAAGTCACTGGTTCAATGAGAAACTCCCTCTGCCTCTTCTGACCCGCTCTCATCCTCCCACATTGCTTTCATTGTTGTCCTCTCTCTTCTCCAAGCCCCATAAAACACAACTGCAATTTAAACACCATTTGCACTGTATCAGTAGATAGGCTTCCTTTTAAACAACTTTTATGAGTGATCAGGTTCACTTGTTTCTAATAGTAAACTTGCATTTGGAAAAACGCAGGAAATCACTATGCTTTTACATGATTCCCAAAAATCAAAGGTCCAGTCCAAAATGAAGTGTAAACTTTAATCCAAACAAAATTCACACATATCTGCCACAATACGTCAGTAAAGAAAGTCAGCAATGACAGCTTACTTAAGAACAACAACAAAAAAGACCTCAAAGCATACGTAGGGATATTTTCCTCGCTTTTAATTTCTGCAGTAGGTACGCTGCAAGAAGCTACAACAGTCCAAAGATCCCAAACATACTAAAGAACTTGGAAACTTTCACTCAAAGATCACTATGAAAAAGGTAGAATGGCGAGGAATTCAAGCAACATTATCGAAGAACCATTCCGCTTACTAAGATTCCTTGAAATTTTGACTGAATCCCTTATAATGCTGGCTCAAATGTTCAGTGGAAAATGTGTATTTTCCACACACTTACCTTAGCCGTGAAAGAGATATCAGCTTGAAAATCAGCATGCCAACAGAATCTCAGTCCCTAAAACACAATATAATTTGGCTCAGCTATTGCAACTGCAGAGAGAATGT